GCTTTCGTACTTATGATACATGACCTTCTGATTTATTCTTTGTTTGAATACTATATAATGAAAACATGAATTCAGTAAAATCGCAGCAGATTCAAACCACTCTCTTGTGTGTTGTGTCTGTGTGTCATCCCCGACCTCATGCCTTCCTGAGTACCAAGACACTGCTTCTCCCACGGTCTGAGTGGCTTCACTGAGCTGGTCCATGGCAACTGAAGGTGGGGCCTACAGTTCAGAGGTTTAGTCCATTGTCATCATGGTGTGGCATGGTGACATGGTGACATGCAAGCAGATAGTGTTGGAGAAGGAGCTGAGAGTCCTGCATCTTGATAGGCAAACAATAGGAAGTGGTCTCTCTCACTGGGAATGGCTTGAGCACAGGCAAACTCAAAGCCCACTGCCACAGTGACACAGTTCCTCCAACAAAACCACACCTCCTCACAGTGACATTTGGGGCCATTTTCTTCCAACCACCACACTCCTTCCAAAACCAGGGCCTCACCTCACCTGACTCTATGTGAAAAGCTGTCAGGATGATGTGTGCCTCGGGGAGGGGAAAATCTCACATTTATGTCCTCAGAGGTTCTGCCCACAGAGAGGATAAGAAGCAGAGCCCAGAGGCTAGAATGTAACATGAGGGTCCTGCTTGTTGGGGTTTCTGTCCTGCCCGGTTTCCACAGCTGCTTAGCCCCAAAGAAAATCACACAGAGGTCTCCATAAGTTATAAGTTGATTGGCTCATTAGCCCAGGTTTGTATTAGCTCTTATAATGTATATTAATTCATTATTCTTATCTATGTTAGCCACATGACTGAGTGCCTTTTTCAGCCAGGCAGGTCACATCCTGCTTCTTCAGTGATCTGGGCAGGAGTGGGAGGAATGGGCTTCCTCCTTCCTAGAATTTTCCTGTTCTCTCTCATTGCCCCGCATTTACTTCCTGTCTGGTTGACCCACCTATACTTTCTGCCTGGCCAATCAGCATTTATTTAAAACATGATTGACAGAATACAGACAATTCTCCAGCACCCATGGAGCCAGATATCCCAGGCCTGTGGCTGTCCCAAGGCTTCCCATCCAGGATATCTTTCTTAGCTGTGTCTTCCCAGCAGTAGAGAGACAGAGGCAGGTGGATGTCTGCCAGCTTGAGATCAGCTGGTTTTGTCTTCATAATGAGTTCCAGGCCATCAGGACTACATAGTGAGATCCTGTCTCCAAACACCAAAAAAATTAAACAAACAAAAAAAGTAGAAATATCAGCATATCAGAATTCAAGCTACACTCTAAATAAAAACAGCATAGTACCAGAACAAAAATTGTATGTGTGTGAGTATTCTGCCTGCATGTACGTATGTGAACACATGTGTGCCTAGTGCCCTAGAAAGTCAGAAGAAGGCCTCAGGCCCTCTGGAACTGGACTTACAGATGACTGTGAACCACCATGAATGTGGTGGGTTTAGAACCCAGGTCCTCTACAAGGACTGTGAGCACTGTTAACCTCTGCGTCATTCCTCAGTTTCCAGTCACCTGACTTTTGACAAGGTGCCAAAGCTGCACAGTGGAGAAGAAAAAATATCTTCATCAAATGTGCTGAGAAAGCGGTGTCTCATGTAGAAGAATGAAGCTCAGTCCTCAGCTCTCTCTCCGCTCTCAAACCAGCCCCCAATGCATCAGACACCCCAGTGTGAGACCCGGAACTCTGAGGAGACTAGAAGGAAGCAGGAAAAACACCTTTAGATGGAGGCAGAGGAGCAGTCTCTGAATAGGAAACCAGTCAACAGTGGGACCTCATGGAATTCACGGTCTTCTGAACAGCAAAGGAAGCAGTTACCAGAGTGAAGAGAGCCTGCAGAACGTCTTTGCCTGCAGCTTTAATCAGACAGATATTAATATCCAGAGTACACATGAACTCAAAAACTAGACATTGAGAAATCAAATAACCCAATCAAACAGTGGGCCATGGGGATGAAAAAAATCCCTCTAAATAAAAAACACAGACTTAGGGGGTGGAGGCAGCAAATCTCTGCGAGTTTGAGGTGAGCCTGGTCTACACAGTACAGCAAGTTCCAAGCCAACCAGAGATATTCAGTGAGATGCTTTCTGCAAAAGTCTGTTCCTCAAACCAGGGGTTATTAAAAATGGCACCCAGTGTCAGGGCTGAGCCATCTCCTTGAGTTGTCAGCCAGAGGCCACACAAACAACACAGGAAATTGCCAGTGCCCCTGGTTGCCCACAAGAACCAGGTAACAAGACCAGTTGTTGACGAACCGCACACTCTAATTACAGGACATAGAGACACCAGGTGGGAACTGACTGGAAGCATCCTCCCTGCTATAGAGTGTGCACAGAGCTGGAAGGTTCTGCGGGAACTGGGGGAGGGTTGTCATCAGGGCTTCCTCAGCTGTGGGTCCTGTGTGCTGCGGGAACTGGGGGAGGGTTGTCATCAGGGCTTCCTCAGCTGTGGTTCCTGTGTGCTGCACGACTCACTGGTCAGAAAAGATGTGACCTCTGGTGCAATAGTGGCAAACCTGCTATTGGAGTAACCAATTCCACGCTCCTCCTCGCACCCATCAGAGCCTGGGCTGATGTGAGCCTGTAGCAGAGAAGCACTGAGGCACAGAGGGAGAATGAAGTCAGGTACCGGTGCTAAAAAAGAGAATTACAGACCAATCTCACTCATGAACATTGATGCAAAATTACTAAATGAAATACTGGCAAATCGAATGCAAGAACACATCAGAGCCATCATCCACCATAACCAAGTCAGTTTCATCCCACAGATGCATGGATGGTTCATATGAAAATCTGTCAACTAATCCACCATATAAATAAACTGAAAAATAAGACTACATGATCATCTCATTACATGCCAAAAAAACATTTGACAAAATACAACAACCCTTCATGATAAAGGTCTTGGAGAGAGCAGGGATACAAGGAACATACCTAAACATAATTAAGGCAATATACAGCAAGCCAACAGCCAACATCAAACTTAATGGAGAGAAACTCCCAGCGATTCCACTGAAATAAGGAACAAGACAAGGTTGTCAACTCTCTTCATTTCTATTCAATATAGTTCTTGAGGTCCTAGTTAGAGCAATAAGACACCAAAGGGAGATCAAGGCGATACAAACTGGAAAAGAAGAACTCAAACTTTCCTGTTTGCTGATGATATGATAGTTTACATAAGTGATCCCAAAAATTTTACCAAGGAACTTCTACAACTCATAAAAACTTTCAGCAATGTAGCAAGATACAATATTAACTCAAAAAAAGTCAGCAGCCCTCCTGTATACAGATGATGAAATGGTTGGGGAAGAAATCAGAGACCCTTCATAGTAGTCACAAATAGCATAAACTACCTTGGAGTAACTCTAACCAAACAAGTGGAAGACTTGTATGACAAGAACTTTCAATCTTTGAAAAAGAAATTGAAGAAGACACCAAAAAGTGGAAAGATCTCCCATACTCTTGGGTAGGCAGAATTAACATAGTAAAAATGGCAATCTTACCAAAAGCAATCTACAGATTCAATGCAATGCCCATCAAAATCCGAGCAAAATTCTTCAAAGACCTCAAAAGAACAGTACTCAACTTCATACGGAAAAGCAAAAGTCCAGGATAGCCAAAACAATCCTGTACAATAAAAGAACTTCTGGAGGTATCACAATCCCTAACTTCAAACTCTACTACAGAGCTATAGGACTGAAAACATCCTGGGATTGGCATAAGAACAGACAGGAGGACCAACGGAACCAAATAGAAGACCCGGATATCAATCCACACATCTTCGAACATCTTATCTTTGACAAGGAAGCAAAAAAATCAAATGGGAAAAAAAAAGCATATTTAACAAGTGGTGCTGGCATAAATGGATATCAATATGTAGAAAAATGAAAACAGACCCATATCTATCACCATGCACAAGACTCAAGTCCAAATTGATAAAAGATTTCAACATAAAGCCATCCGCACTGAACCTTATAGAAGAGAAAGTGGGAAGTACACTTGAACACATTGGCACAGGGAACCACTTCCTAAATATAACCCCAGCAGCACAGATACTGGGAGAAACAATTAATAAATGGGACCTCCTGAAACTGAAAAGCTTCTGTAAAGCAAAGGGCATGGTCAACAAGACAAAACGACAGCCTACAAAATGGGAAAAGATCTTCACCAACCCCATATCAGACAGAGGTCTGATCTCCAAAATATACAAAGAACTCAAGAAATTGGACACCAAAAGAATACATAATCCAATAAAAAATGGAGTACAGACCTAAACAAAGAACTCTCAACAGAGGAATCTAAAATAGCTGAAAGACACTTAAGGAAATGTTCAACATCCTTAGTCATCAGAGAAATGCAAATCAAAACAATTCTGAGATTCTATCTTACACCTGAAGAAATGGCCAAGATCAAAAACACTGATGACAACTTATGCTGAAGAGGTTGTGGAGTAATGGAAACACTTCTGCAATGCTCATGGGAATGCAAGCTTGTACAACCCCTTTGGATGTCAGTGTGGAGATTTCTCAGAAAATTAAGAAACAACCTTCCTCAAGACCCAGTAATACCACTTTTGGATATACATCCAAAAGATGCTCAATCGTGCCACAAGGACATGTGCTCAACTATGTTCATAGCAGCTTTGTTTGTCATAGCCAGAACCTAGAAACAACCTAAATGCCCCTTAACCAAAGAATGGATAAAGAAAATGTGGTACATTTACACAATGGAGTACAACACAGCAGAAAAAAAATAATGACATCTTGAAATTTGCAGAAAAATGTATGGAGCTAGAAAACATTATTTTGAGTAAGGTAACCCAAATACAGAAAGACAATTATCACATGTACTCACTCATAGGTGGTTTTTTTTTCTTTTTCCATTCAAAAATTTCCACTTCCTCCCCTCCTCCCATTCCTCTCCTACTCTCCCACTCACCCTCCTCCCTCCCCCTCCATCCTTAAAAGAGGGTAGGGTACCCTGCCCTGTGGGAAGTCTAAGGCCTTCCCACTCCATCCAGGCCTAGGAAGGTGTGCATCCAAATAGATTGGGGTCCCCCAAAAGCCAGTATATTCAGTAGAAACAGGTTCCAGTACCATTATCAATGGCTTCTCAGTTCGCCCCCATTGTCAGCCACATTCAGTGAGTCGAGTTTGATCCCCTGCTCATTCAGTCCAGCTGGATTTAGTGAGCTCCCATTAGCTCAGGCACACTGTCTCAGTGGGTGGACCAACCCCTCGCGGTCCTGACTTCCTTGCTCATCTTCTGCCTCCTTCTTCTCTTCAACTGGACCTTGGGAGCTCAGTTCATTGCTTTGATGTGGGTCTCTGTCTCTATCTCCATCCATCATTGGATGAAGCTTCTATGGCGATATTTGAGATAATCATCAATGTGGATATGGGACAAGACCAGTTCAGGCGCCCTCTGGGCTGGATGGTGCAGCAGCTGCAGAGACAGGACATATAGTAGAGGAGACATTTCTTTTAATTTATTTATTCATTTATTTTAAAAAGAAAACAGCCGGTAGTGGTGGCGCAAGCCGGTAGGATTTGCTGAAGGAGGCAGAGGCAGGAGGATCACGAGTTCGAGGCCAGCCTGGGCTACACATTGGGGCTGGAGAGATGGCTCAGTGGTTAAGAGCATTGCCTGCTCTTCCAAAGGTCCTGAGTTCAATTCCCAGCAACCACATGGTGGCTCACAACCATCTGTAATGGGGTCTGGTGCCCTCTTCTGGCCTACAGGCACACAGAATATTGTATACATAATAAGTAAATAAATAAATATTTAAAAAAAAAGAAAACAATCTTTTTTCAGTTTACATACCAATCCCAGTTCCCACTCCCTCCCCTCCTCCCATTCCCTCCACCTAAGGCCCCCACTCCACCCCATCCACTCCTCAGAGAGAGTAAGGCACATTGCTTTGGGGAAGGTCCAAGGCCCTCCCTACTATATCTAGGCTGAACAAGGTATCCATCCAAAGACACTAGGATACCCAAAAGTCATTACAAGCAGCAGGGATAAATCCTGGTGCCACTGCCAGTGGCCCTGCAGTCTGCCCCAGGCATACAACTGTCACCCACATTCAGAGGGACTTGTTTGGACCTATGCTGTTTTCTACCCGGTCTGGCTGGAGTTGGTGAACTCCTATTAGCTCAGTTAAACTGTTTCAGACTTGACCTCTTTGCTCATATTCTCACTTTTTCCACTCTTCAGCTGGACTTTGTGAGCTCAGTCCAGTGCTCTGATGCAGGTCTCTGCCTCTGTTTCCCTCAGTTGCTGGATGAAGGTTGTCATGATCTGCTGGCCTGGTCTGTCACCTGGTACCCTGTCCCTTTAAGAGTTAATCCCCACCTACTTCCAACCTCCCCACTCCACGGAGGCAAGCAGGTCTCCTGCCTCCTCCAGCCTGCATGCTCTCTCTCCTCCTGTCCCTCTTCTGAAGAGGTAACTGCTGCCTCTCTCTCCCTCTCGCTCTCCCCCTCTCTTTTCCCTTCTATAACTCACTAAACTCTATACCCAAACTCTCTCTCTCTCTCTCATGATGTATCTATCTGTCTCTCACCTGCCATGGTCTCCCACCTGCCAAGGGGACCCGCCAAGGTGTCTGGTGACCTGCCAAGGCCTCAGATGACCCATTACCAAGGATCCTCATGGAACTGACTGCCCCTCATGGCACCGGTGCCCCAACACCATGTCTTTATAAGTTATAACAAATGTTCTGTGGTGATATGTAAGATAGTCATTAGTTTGACTACAAGGCTGTAGTAATGAGGCGAGCAGGTCTGCTTTTTGTCCCGCCTGGCTCCCGCATGGCTAGCTTTGCCCCAGAAATAATTACACGGAAACTGTATTCATTTAAACACTGCTTGCCCCATTAGCTCTAGCCTCTTACTGGCTAAGTCTCACATCTTGATTAACCCATTTCTATTTATGTGTGTAGCACCACAAGGTGGTGGCTTACCGGGAAGATTCTAACCATCATCTAACCAAGATGTGTCCATCTTGGAGAGGAGAGCTATGTCGTCTGCCTCACTGCCTTCTTCCTCCCAGCATTCTGTTCTGTCTTCCCTGCCTACCTATGTTCTGACCTATCAGGCCAAGCAGTTTTCTTTATTAATTAACCAATGAAACAACAGATAGACAGATGACCCTCCTCCATCACATGGCAAGACCAGAGACATTTTGAGCAGGAGAACAAAACAGAACATTTCCAGGCAGAGGTAGAATCCATCCCAGACAGGCTTAGCCATGGTGGGAGGTGGCAGAAGGCTGCCAGCGAGGCAGAGTTTAGCATGGCTGGATCACTAGTAAGGAGCAGGAGGCAGACAGACAAGCAAAGAGAGAAGGGATGAAGAGCAGAAGTCACATTTCCAACTACTGGATCAGTGGCAAAATTAAAGTGTTGATAAACGGCCCTGAGTGAGGTAGAAAAGAAAAGACCCAAGAGACTGAACTCCAGTACCCAGAGTTCAGCATGGACCGTGGCTCAAGCTGGCCTTGGGCATCACCTACAAAGTCCAAGGGCCGTGGGAAATGGGTGGGCACAGCCGTACCCCATGTCATCATGTGGGGAGGGGACCAAGGGACATGTGCTTGCACAGTACTGGGACTTTCAGCTGGAGCTGGAAGGGGAGGAACCACAGTCTAGAGCTGAATCCTCACCCATGGCAGCATGGCCAGAGGTGGCAGAGGGCCCTACCGTTGCTACCGAGTTTGCCAGTGTTGGAGTAGAATTCCAGATATCCCCTTTGGAAGAGAGACCCAATTGAAGGGTTTAGGATCCCCCAGTGCTCTCAGCTACAAGAGAGTCTGCTGAGTTCTCACCATTGTTATGTTATGACATGACAGGAACCCCGGAGGGTGAGGAGCAGACAAATACATCAAACAGACAGAGTTTGAGTGTGGAGATTACCTGAGACAAAGGGAATTAGAAGGGGAGAGAGAGAGACAGACAGACAGACAGACAGACAGACAGACAGACACAGAATGGGAAGAGAGAAAAGAGGCAGAGATCTGCCTGTCTCTTCAAAAGAAGGCAGGGGAAGAGAGAGATTGGGAGTGGGTGGAGCTTGATCCTAACGGGTCATTTGCACCTGCCTATAGTCAAGGAACTGCTTACCATAAGCAGAGGATGGCTGTGCCAGGTGCCCAAGGGTCCAGGACACCAACACTAGTCCTTTCTAAAGCTGATCCCAGTGGTTGGGAAGCAGGAGTCTCACCGTGAGCACTATGGAGGCCCATGGGCTCCAGGTAGTGGATGCTGCACCAGTGTTGATGGTGACGGCTGATCCTGATGAGACAATGGCACCTGGGATCAATGGCCAGTGACCTAGAAGACACCATTACATCAAATGCTTCTGTACTCAAGGTCTGAAAAGCTGACTTAGGCTATGAGTAGACCCAAAAGTAGGAACCAGGACAGCTGTCTCCTTAGATTCTCCTCCACAGCATCCCTACCCCAGATGCTTCTCCACAGCAGCCCTGCCCCAGATGCTTCTCCACCACAGCCTGCCCCAGGTGCTCTTTCTTTTTTTTTCTTTTTTTTAATATTTATTTATTTGTTATGTTTACAATATTCTGTCTGCAGGCCAGAAGAGAGCACCAGACCTCATTACAGATGGTTGTGAGCCACCATGTGGTTGCTGGGATTTGAACTCAGGACCTTTGGAAGAGCAGGCAATGCTCTTAATCACTGAGCCATCTCTCCAGCCCCAGGTGCTCTTTCTTAAGTCACATGTCTGTCCTTTTATTCCTTCAGTCTTTTAGTCTTGTAGACCTATCATGACATAATTGGCAGAGATTTGCCATTCTGTTGCAGGAACCATTCTGGGCTAAGAACTCCAACAGCAATGAGAGAAGAAGAGACAAGATGCCCCCAGGGGACAGAAGCCAGGCAGCTCCTGAAGGCACTGACTTCGGGTCCACCTGCATTCTCACTTTATACTCTAAGACCACCAGATGAAGCGGGCAGGAAGATTTACAGAAGCCTATGTGGCAGTTAGCAAGTTGCTAAGGGCAATGGCCCAAAGGTTCAGCCGTTTAGCAAATGAAACCACACTTGGCAAACAGGCAGTACAAGTACTGCTGTGAGTAAGTCAACAAATCAGGGCCTAATCATTGGCCTTTTCTCCCTTACACTTCATCCCCTCCTCGACACTTCCATGAAACATTATGAATTCATCCTGAAGAGATTGGCTGGTCCTCCTGGCCTGTTTCTGTGTTGTACTTCATTGGCTCTTGTTTCTGCCTGGAACCTTGATTCTTCCTGACGATGTTTTGACATTTTCTCATTCTATTCCTTCCTGATTAACATCTATCTCATTCTGAAGAGGGACTGTGTTTTCCTGAACAGCAGTTAAATTTTCCTTGGTCTGAGTAAAATCAGCTGTGTGGAACTTGGAGCGATTGCCTTGGTCTGAGTAAGATCAGCTGTGTTGAACTTGGGAGCCATTGCTGCAGCAACAGTGGCTGTGGACCTGCCAGGGTCGCTGCTATCAGCACTGGTAGAAGCACAGGGGTCTCTTGTGTCTTGAACATAAGGGGTGAAAGTGTTTCAGGACCTTGCTTCCTGGGAGCACATCTAAGCCAGGGCCGAGAACCCCAGTCTGCAGCCGTCCCCCAGACAGCAGGTGCAAATGCTCCCAGGGAAGGCACAGTGTGTGCCATTAGGGGCGACTGCTCTCTGAGCAAGTCTGTGGCAGACACTGTCATTCCTCCCACACTGGGCTTTTCCTATGACCCACGAAGGTGGCCCAGTTGATCCTGTCCCTTTTGTACTGCAGGCAGGCTCTGGTCAAAGTCCTTCCCACCCCAGTATAAGTAGCCTGGCTTGCACGTGAGCATACCCAACAGTCCTGGCCTGCGTAAGGAGCTCATGGCTGGCATTGACTAAACCAAGCATTTTCAGACATGTCTTTGACAGATAAAGGGCTTTCTGTGGTCCATTTCCACATTATTCCTCCCTGGTTCCCCTGCATCCCCCACAACCAAAGGACAGTTAGCTCCTTGTCCCTCTGTGGGAGCTGCCTTCCAAAACCTTTCCATGATGAAGTCATGGATGACAAGTATTTAAGACCAATGGATCCCCTATAATCCACTCATTCCTTTGTCCTCTGGCCAGATGTCCTTAGGATGTCACTCCTTGGGGCTGTCTCCACAAGGAATCCCAGTCTGTTGTACTGGTGTGACTGGTTCTGTTGTGCCCAAGTCGCAACCCCAGAGAGACCACCAGGATCCGGTCAAGTCCAGAATGCAAAAGCATGGTTTATTCGGAGCTCTACACAGCCAGGCTGGGGTCTCATCCCCTACTCGTCGCAGCACAGTAGGGAGCAGAGCCCCTCATCATTTGGGGCTGACATTAAACAGGCAAAAACCGCAAGCCAGGTTCATTTGGGGTCAAAGGAGTTAGTCTTACATAAGAGCAGGTACCTTATCTCTAACAAGCCCCTTCCCCAAAGTGGTTATGTCTAGCAGGCCTCCCATCCCCAAAGCCCTCCCCGAAGCGGTCGACTTTTCTGTTCCGTGATAGACCACAGAGCTAGGTGTTAACAGGTGGTCCGCTGCCAGGATGCCAGGGGCACTTTGTGGTGAGCTCAGCGCCCTAGCGAGACATCCTGTTTCCAACCAGCCCTAGAGGTCTTGCATTTGAACACAGTGCCCTAATTAGCCACTAAGCAAGCAAAAAGTTCCTTAAAATGTTTCATGTCCTTACAGTTCCACCACAGAGTAATGAGGTCAGAGGGATGATCCATGACCGGCCTGTTCCTCAGTAGAAGCCCCATCTGAAGGAGAGGAGGCAGAGCTCTGGGGACAGTTAGATCCACTGATGGCGCCTAGGAACTGGAGTTGCTCTGGACAAGGTTGCTCTCCAGACTGACCTATGTGACAGGAGGAGAGAGGCCGAGGGAGGACTGCACGGATCCTGTCCCTAGGACGGGAAGACAGCAGGGGCAGAGCAGGACTAAGCTGTCGTCTCCATCTGGAGGTCATTTTGAGCCGGGTCATCTCAGAAACTGGTCTGTGTGGCTCATTCCTGACTCAAGTCCTCAGCAGCCGTGGCGAGGTTGTGCTGTATCTGGTGACTGGCAAATACAACTTTAAGAACTGTGGGATGGGCCTTTCTGTTCAGTCAAATCTCTCAGGAAGATGTGGACATGGGTGTGCCCCATACTCTCAGAGGTTGTTTGAATCCTCTGGGGACAGGGGTAGTGTGTGGCCAAACGTGATCTTGAAAAAAGAGTAAACACATTTACAAGGTGTGCAGTGCACCCTAGACAGAGATTCTGGCCAGGGGAGGTCTGTTCTTTGTCTGCGTTTAGTAGTGCCATTTTCAAAGTTCTCCTGATTCTCTCAACACAGCCTGGTGATCGGGGGTGGAACCATGTGCATAAAGTGTAGAGAGTGTAGGAAAGGCTCCTCCCCAGCGTGGGAAAGTGCACACCATAACCAGGGGTACGGGTGCCCTCTGCTGGGATGAATTTCAGTGAAGTCAACCCCAAAATGTTAAGACATGTAGGACCTTGTGTCTGCGTCATTGTGGCATCCTTGGGTGCCTGCTTCAGGTGGTTCCACGCACATTGCAGACAGGCTTTGCTAACATGTTGGGTCAGGGTTAGCAGCCTCGGGACCATCCATGTCTGCCACAATGCTTGTGGGCACTTCTTTCCCACACAGGTTGCTTCATGAGATTGCCAGACTGGAGGAGGAGCAGTCAGTGGCAGAACTGTTACTTTTGTTTCTGTCTTTCCTTTTTTAGACACAAGGTTTCTCTGAGTAGCCCTCTCTGTCCTGGAACTCACTCTGTAGACCATCTGGCTTGGAATTCAGATTCATCTGCCTCTGCCTCCTGCATGCTGGGATGAAGGAGTGTGCCCCACACCTTGCCTATCTGTGGTATCCAGCCAGCCCTGCTCATCTTCAGTTCCCTTCCATCAGTGGCTCTTTTCCTTTCCTCTGGCTTCTATGAGGGGAGCTCTGTGAGCACCATGAGTGACAGACTGACCTTGTGGGGTAACTGGAGGACCATCTTGCTGCAGGAAGGTTTACCCACCTACTGGGGCATGGCCTCATAGAGTATGGGTTGATTTATAATGTAAGAGCTAATTAGAAATACACTTAAGCTAGTGGCCAAACAGTATTGCAATTAATACAGATTTCTGGGCAGCTGGGAAATGAACAAGCAGTCTCCATTAACACAGGAAGTCCAACCAATTCAACAGAGTCTCTACTCCATAGTCAGTGGGAAATCCTCTTTAAGGCTGTCATTCATGGAATGTAAGACTCTGCGGATCTCACATTGGGACTGTGTAGACCCCATGATGGAGAGAGCTCTCTAAACAGGAGTTGGGGCAGGTTATATGTTCCTCCCTGTGCAAAGTCATCAGTCACTTAATGCATGGACAGAGAGTGTGGAATGTCCCACCAGAGGGCGCTGTCCGTAAAGATCACATCCTGTCATCTGTGGCATCATCACTGCATGTGGTAACCTTTGTGTCAGTGAAGGGAGCCAGGTTACCTCTGAGCCATCTCCGCAGCCCCTGTGCTTGTGTTTTACACAGATCTTCATTCCATAGTCCTGAGACTGTCCGTGTGGACCTGGGTCATTGTCTCAGCACAGTAGACCCCCTCCTCCACGGGAAGAGACCCCTGTGGAGACCAAATACAGCAGGACACTGACCCTGTCTACACTCCACGTTTCCCTGTGTGCACACACTCCCATGGTACAGTTGCATTAGTGAATAAACCACAGGCAGAGAGGAAATGGAACTATAAAGAGAATAACGGTGACTGTGTGGTAGAAGTTACACAACCTGTGCTCCCCCCACCCCCCAATCTTCACTCTCACTTTATGAGATCAGGGAGATGAATGTCGTGGGCTTGAGGGACCCTGGACCTGACAAGTGAGTTAGCTCCTGAGTTCCTCAATCCCGTTCAGTGTGGACACTGGACAGAGGGCGACTCTCATGGCAGAGGTGCACACTGGGGATTTGGGGTTTTACCCTGTTCAGTATTGTGGAGAAAATTCAGATTTATAATTTTTTGTGTCTGTGGATTTTGAAATGAGATCTTCAAATCCCATCCACAGGTAACTGAAGAAGAAGGTGAGAGCAGAGCTGAATGGGGGCCTCCTTCCTACAGGGAGATTCACATAGAACAACACAGTTAACAAAGTCAAAAGTGACCAGAGCCGTGAAAATTCCAGTAACCGCCGGATGCAGGTGTGCATGGCAGCCCCACACATTCACCAGGACTCCGACAGCACCTGTTTCCGTGAACATTCATTTTAAGTGCTGTGTGTATTTTACCTGGAATCTTCATGCTCTTAGGTTTCACCCTGACTGACCTGAGAAGCAGTTGTCCTTAGGCAGCTCAGAGACACCAAGACACCCAGCGCTCCATCCCGCAGCACAGGGCTCAGGCAAAGTCTTAGTCCCCAGGCGGTGAGGTCTGGGTGGGGAAGCCCAGGGCTGGGGATTCCCCTGTCCTCAAGTTTCATTTCTCCAGCTCCTAACCTGGGTCAGGTCCTTCTACCCCGACCCTGATGACAACTTGGCGGTTCTCACCCTCATTGAGTGACGCGATCCCGGGGAACCAACCAGCGTCACCGCGGTCTCAGGCTGTAAAGTCCCAGACCGCGGAACTCAAGAGTCTCCGCAGATCCGAGTTGGGGGCGATGGCCCCACACACGCTGCTCCTGCTGCTGGCGGCCGCCCTGGCCCCGACCCAGACCCGCGCGGGTGAGTGCGGGGTCGGGAGGGAAACGGGCTCTGCGGGGAGGGCGGGGTAGGCACCGGGGAAGCCGCGTCCCCGCGTGGCCCAGCCGGACCC